GTCTACTCCTACCACAACCAGCAAAAGGAGAGCTCAACAAAACGTGCGCTTTATGTCCACAAGCAAAACAGGATGCCATCTCATCATTTTCTCAATGAATCACGGAAACTGGACAAAAAGCTGATCAAGATGAGCGTCAGTCCCGGAAGCTGAAGTACATTACTTATGACTGGTCAGTCTTTTATACAATATAAATGTAAACTAAGTCATTATATATCATTTTGTTAAAGTGTTATCAGTGTTTTTCTTTTGATTCCTTTAGTCTAATTGTATAGAAACACTTTGCAACAGAAAATATTTTAGTTTGATCTTAAAGCTTGTTTACCAATTTTAATTGTTTAATGATATCTTGTAATTTATGTAGATTTCTTGACGGGAGCTTCTACGTGCATTGTAATTATAAAAATTTTCAATTAAAATTTATAATATTTAATGTCAGTATGTTCCCAACATTAAATAAGTCAGTTTTAACAAAAATTGCAGATTTATAAATAGGAAAGGCAATGGTAAGATTCCCAGATCAATGAATAGAGGTTTGCAGGGATCACGTGGAAGGCATTTTTTCATTTTTCAAATAATTTTCTTTTACCATTTTAAAGTCTTGGTACTACATGAGGAGCTTGTCCAGAATAATATATCATATCTCAGGCATTTGTCACTATCACTATCACATCACTTCATATGAAATATATGCTATTAGTAAAATACTAAACAATACTTATCTGAATAAATGCAGGGACAACTTAGCAATATTTTTCTTTAAAATCCTGCTGTTCTTTCAAATTTAGTGGATCCTGAGTCGGGGAATTACTTCATGTGATGGTAATGTCTGTTCTCACTCGCAACCTGAAAACTTAATAATTAATATCAATTTTAACCAATACAAAGTGAAAATTTTGCAAACACTTTCATGACTCAAAATCCTGCTCTGTCATTGTCGCTGATGAATCCTGCAACGCCGAATTTCCGAAGTATCCACCCACGATCAGCGATTTCAATGCAACTGGTTTCAGATTGTACATCTCGTGTAGCAACTTCCTGATAAATTCCTAACTTCCATTCCAATCATTACAGATGAGCCTGTAAAATTCAGAACAAATACTGAACACTTCATAATTGTAAGTAAAATATTGAAACGTCTTCAGGTGTCAACATTCTGTACTCGCCTAAATCGCTGAAAAATCCTTGAACGCTACATTTGCAAAGTAACCGTTCATGGTTTTTGTTTTCAAAGTATATGGTTTTTCATGGTACCTACACTTTCCACGTGTTGAATCAAATATCATCTGAAAACTAACTTACTAATACACAGATTCATTTTTAGGGACAATGCTGGATCATTGTTAATGTCAAATCACCGTGGTTCTTTCGTGCCTGAATTACCGCTGACCTCTCTAGATGTTTGGGAAGGTATCTACAGCGCCAACATACGCAATTAAATACAATCTACAATCTGAATCTAAATACAATATTAAAAATAAGTAACTACTAATTAGTGATCAGTCGTTGGGATATTTCAACAGAATCAAATTAATGCGCTTTACTTTTACTGACTAAGAATTCGAATATCTTGCATGGTCGAAATCTCGACGAAACAATTTTCTTACACATGGAATGAAATACAGCTTTCCTGGAAAAGAAAAAACAAGGCTGATATTGGAACATCCCTAAAAATCCCTTACATTGACTAAAAACTACACTTTTCAAATACTATAACTACCTAAAAATTGTAAGGAACAATATAATATCATTTTCAAGAGTCAAAATTATGACTCCTCAAAGGCGAGGTATAGTCAGGGAAATATCCCATTACCGAAAGCCAAACGTAGACATCCATGATGTGCGTTTTCAATGCATACCGTGTAGGTTGGTACCTAAAGTTCTTCCACATTGTAATACAGAACATTCGAAAACCAAGTTATAAATAAACAGTGATTAAATATAAGAACAATATTGAAGCATTGTTAAACAGTCAATATGGTGTTGCCACATATTTATTACAAATTCTACATCACCTAATTAAGGTGATACCTAATAATTCTGGACATACGGTAGTGTGCGTGATCTAGAATATGGTGGTATTTCCAGTTCTCTCACGTTTTGCGAAATGCAATATTCCTGAAAAGGTACTTTAATGGAGTCTTAGTTGTATATTTGCATAAGTATTAAGGTAATAAAATACAGTAATCAACGTTACTGAAACATCACGCAAGAACAATTCGCATCATTGGTTCTTCCGTCCTGTATTATACGTCTTTGAAGAACGAGTTCCTTATATTACGAAGAAGCAGATGCTTAAAAACGCCAAATCACACTACTGATTTATGGTACTGAACTCTAAAAATACCAAATGCGTAATACGTATAATCATTTTATTCAGTATGTGCCGAGAATAATCCCGCTTGACTTCCTAATAAGTGCGCTTAAATGTACTTGACATGATCTCACATGTATTAAATGTAAACTAGGTCTCATAACCGATAATTTTTGGTGAAGGAATTGTATTATTCGTCTCATAAAACATCAGTGCCGAATGAGCAAACGCTAGAATCGTCAGTACATCTCTCGTTTTTCGATTGTTTTATCTGGCTTTATTAAGAACCACGCAGCACATTCTTCCAGAGTTGGCATCAATTCCTTACTTGTTAACAAATTACATACATTTAGTGTACTTAACTTCATTATTAAGCGCTCACATATGTATGCTAAAATGTTTATATGCTAATTAACTTGATTTACACCCGCAAAATTGCAACTAATATATTGTTTTAATCTTTAAGAAGTAGCATCGTCTCTTGTTCCTTACAATTTTAAAATCTGCGGCACATGTTAAAATCCATACAATTATTTCAATGTGTTTCGTAGACGCACATCAACTAATGGACCCATTCGCAATAGACGTACGTAGCTGTTGTGTGAAATACTACACAGTTTGCGACGTTTTTTAAGCTGCTACACCCATTTTTCTAGAATTCTGAAGAATAAATGATCGTGTGAATAAAAAAAGTGTCCGCACTTTTTGCAACGCAGCCACCCAGTCTCAAACACCTTCGCTGTTCAAGTGCTTCACCTTACATTCGCAACATATGCAGCTGCTTTGTTTCGAATATTTTTACCATATAATTTGTGTGAAATCTTAATTTTACAAATCCTTATAATGTGAATTAGAAACATCGTAGAATATAAATGTTAAAATCATTACAATGTTTGCATTTAGTCAAAAAACAGTAAAACACTGTACGTAACATATGAAGGAGAAGATCTGCGCAGGTTTTCTTGAGTTTCAGAATCCCTTCCCTTCATTTTAACTACAAATAGTTGAAAGATGAGTAAAATTTAAAGATAAATAAATAAAAATAAGTCAATTTTGACAAATATTACAGATTCGTAAATAAATAGGCAATGCAATGGTGAAATTCCAAGCTCAATGGAGAGAGGCATGTTACAGATTTCGATGTCTATAGCGTTCACGTCCAGCTATTCTGTGCCACTGTCCAGAATACCACAAGCCAACAGAATAACATTCATGTTAAATCAAAACGCAAATTAATAGGTAGCGTGTACTAATATCAGTATGATGTCTAGTTACTACACTATATAGACGCAGAGGTAAGAATTCGTGTGTACTGCCCGAACAATATCTACAAGTAATTAACACAACACAACAAAAAAAATTCATGTTGCGTCAAAAATTGTAAATGTACACACTCAATTTGGAACACAGCCCAATAATTCTTAAAATGTTAGGTGCTGTGTGTACTAATAATACATGAAAAGGAAAACTTAAAATGTTCCATGACACTGATGTCAATTCTCAAATTACGGAAGTCCAACAACTGCCGGACACACAATTTACACTTCGCACAGCAGCTCCTCAATAAACCAAGACCAGTATTTTAAACAACTACTACTTCATGTACCACGTAAAAATATAAACAGTAATTGTTCTTTGAAATTCATCATCCACTATTTTACAAGGTAAAAGAGAATAGTGTCAAAAAACGCAAGATGAAACGATTACCATCCACTTAAAACTAAAAAATCCACCATCGTTCAAACATAAAATATATTTTTTCAAATCTTAAAAACTAAAAGCTATCTCAATGCATCGTTCTCTAATACTCGCGGATATTTCTTCAGTACAGGACACACACAATTCCTCAAAATCAAAAATCCAAGAACAGCAGCTGCGTCATACAAAATATTTCATCACAATTTAACGAACAGAATTCTTTCTTTAAACAGGCTTCAAGAAGGTCATCAACAGAAATGATGAAACAACGCTATATTGTGTGACGTAGAAACCCATGTTGAAATATGGTGCCATGCCATGGCACTCTACGAGGGTTTAAAAATTCACACTTTCTGGATCGTCAAAATAAACCAAACATTTTCATCTCATTCAAACTAAATGTCCATTGCACTAAACGCCAAGCAAAATGCGCCATATTCAATAAAACACTATGGGTCAGTTTTAGTCAACACAGCTGCAAATATTCAAATACTTTTTAATGCGCAATTGTTGGGCAGGACACTATTACGAAATGAATACACCATGTCATATGGTAAGTTTTTATTCTATCATCTTAGGAGCTGCACGCCTTGTCTTACTTATATACCTTCATACCTTTCACAACGCAATATTGCGCTGCCCGATGCTAACATTTAAATATCTACATAAATATAGGAGCTGCTTCAAAATATGTCAATTTTTCCTAGATAAAAACAGTGTACAAAATACATTAACAATTAAACATATTGCTTAAAATAAAGCATTAGGCGATGTAGACGTCCGTATATTAATAACTTTCACGGTTGAATGGCAGATTTCATAACCCAATACTCGGAACACAAAAATATTTATAGTTTGAATGGCTCCCTGAAAAATAAAACACATTTCCATTAGTGTGACACAGCAGATAAAAAGTCAAGTGTCAACCAGTTCAGGTTTCCTTCACCTGATATTGATCTGTCTGTATAATCATGCTGACGTTATCTACTACGAACTGTTTAACAAAGTAGCGGCATTCATTAAGATTGTCATCAATTCTGTCATCTGGGTGAAGCAATTCTTTCAAATAAACTCGTTGAATGCTCTAAAAAAAACATTCACTTTTGTCTAAACCGAAAAATAACCAAAATCAATGCATTCATAACAAAAAGACCTCTCGTTTTGCAAACTTTTACAACTCCCTGAGACCACGTGCATAAGATACAGATCCTTAAAAATATTTCAATTCATTTTTCACAATAAACGTCCTTGCAACCTTGGAGACGGCGTTCAGGCTATTACATTGCAGAGACGTAAGGAAAACCTTGTCAAAAACATGCGTCTGTTTTACTTAACCTAAGAACCTACTACCACAAGCAACTGTACGCTACATTGAGAAAAGTATTATCAGGATGATTATTTTTAAAACCAAGTTAAAAACTCTTTATGAGTAACACAAAACTAGACGATCTGAAACTTTCATATTAATTTTTAAAACTGCACATAATATTGTATAAGTTTGTAAAAATAAGATTGGAATAATACTTATTGGTTCTATAATAAAACTTACATATGTTTAATTAAATGATATCGCACGCATTGTAGGGGTGCTGTGAGAAATGTAACAAATGAAGTCCAATATTAATTTTAAAATTGCTAAAAATGTCTTATTTGTCTTAATTACATCACACAATTTATTCCAATGAATGTATATTTGAAATAATTGACAACAAGATATATGCAGCAACATTATTTAGCGCACAATCCACAACGAATAACAGGTGTCACACCCGTCACAAGTGCACTGTAAATTCCTAAACCGAAGATTTATCGTATTTTTAAAAATATTTTCAGTTTCTGTTAAGAATCCGGCTGATACCATTCCAACGACAGAATGCTTCGAATGTCGGGAGAGGAAATTGTTGAAAACCAGCAGTGAAGATCAAATTCTTCCCTCCGCTCGACTTGCGAGCAGTCTGTGTCACACAAGGCTAATTCTCCTGTCAATTTCAAACAAGATTCGCCTCCCACAAGTTAGATCTGATAAAGGCCACGCTGTCAATTGGTTGAACTTCTGGGCAAACCGCAGACCATTCCTATTTCCGTCTCTCAAGCAACTGATTCTACCTGAAACAATAAGATTTCGATTATTGCAAACCATTTGTGAATACGTTATCGATTCCAATAAAATCGAAATTTTCATTCCAGTCATACAATAAAAATAATAATAATAAATAACAACAACAAATAACAACAACAACAACAAACAACAACAACAACAAACAACAACAACAACAAATAATAATAACAACAACAATAACAACAACAACAACAAATAATAATAATAACAACAACAACAAATAACAATAATAACAACAACAAACAACAACAACAAATAACAACAACAACAAATAATAACAACAACAAATAATAACAACAACAAATAATAACAACAACAAATAATAACAACAACAATAACAATAATAATAACAATAATAATAACAACAAGAAGAACAACAACAATGTGCTAGATGGAACCTTGAAACGTTGAAAGCAGGTCTGGTCCATACAAAATCAATTCCCAAATTGATACGAGGAAGCGTAAATTTTGTTGTTTATTTATTTGTGTCTCGTACATTTTGCATGCATCTTTTCAAGACTACAGGCGTTTTCATCCTAAACCCTTATATTCATAATTACATAATACATAATTACATAGTTCTATTGAACGCCACACGTAGTCAACTTGGAAGCTAGTATAGCGCGTGTGATAGTTTGCACTACCTGCCACATCCGCCGTGGCACGGCGTAAACACCCAACCTATTTCAAAACCAAAAATATGCAACACTTTACCAAGCAGTTTGAAGAGATGGAAGTTACAATTTCATCCGTTCTAAAATAAAAACCTAGGGTAACGCGTATTAATCACCCACAACAGATTGCAGAATATCCCTCAATATGGAAACCTTTACCCGTTGATGCACCAAGTCGCGACCGAACTAGTTTACACAAAGGGAGCCTATGAAGAACGGGTAGTATGTCCTTATAGTAACCTCTGTCCGTCCGTGTCAGAACCTCTTCCCATCTACTACTAGGAACAAATAAGGTAACTATTTTGCAGATCCTCTACAATAGGCACGTCAAAGCTCTACCTGCACGAGCTGCTTTCCTGCCTCGGGAGCCCGGAGCTCCTTCGGGCATGGGCAGCTTCCCCTGATTTCGCACTCATTTCCCCTTAAACTCCAGAAAGGGGTGTACATGCGCAAGTTGAAGCGGCGCTAGGTGGGGAATAGTGGCTTCGCACGAAAATGTTTGCTAGATTTTCTCTATCAAATAACTGAGAATTTTAGTATGTTTGTAGTCTTCACTACTTATTACTATTTGATGCTTGTTTTCTTACTAAATTCTCCCTTATATTCAGGGTGAGCCACGTAACTTTAGCACATACTGCAGTTCTTGTACGGTTTAAGTTATTTCAAGCAGTTTTTATGTTTTTTATTTTATTTTAATTTATTTAGTCAAAAAACAGTAACAACTGTATTGACGTATGGGGGAGAAGATCTGCGCACGTTTTATTCACTTCCAGAATCCCTTCCAATCATCTTAACTATAAATAGTAGAAAGATGAGTAAAAGTTAAAGACGAATAAATAAAAATAAAATTTAAAAACGCGCGACATTAGCAACATTTGAAACACTAAAAATGTTCGTTCCCGAGGTTTAGAAAACTTATTTGCAACTATAAACGAACTGAAGCTTTGATTTTCCTGCATTGCTAACAAAATGTAACTCACCCTTATCTCTACTCCTACCACTACAAGCAAAAGGAGAGTTCAACAAAAACGTGCGCTTAGTGAAGCTACATTTACGTCCAGAAGCAGAACAAGGGGGGCCATCTCAGCATTGCTCAATATATCAGAGAAACTGGACAGAAACCTGATAGAGATGGGGTCATTGATCCGGAAGCTGAAGTACATTATTTGTTACCAACATTAAGTTTTTTTAATTATACAATACCAAAGTAAACTAATTCATTTTACATCACTGTTTTGTTAAAATAAACATTTTTCTTTTTATAATTGTATTGAAACAGTTGTGCAGCAGAAAATATTTTACTTTTATCTTATTCGTGTACCGACTTCAATTGTTTAATGTCATCTGGCAATGTGCTGTAAAGTAACGTAAATATACTGTAAGTGGATTTCTGGTGGAGAGCTGTTCATATAGATACTTCATGAATGTGATTCCTACGACGTGTGTTGTAATTATAAATATCAGTACTGCATGAAAATATGTTCCAAGTCACATGTTGCAAGTCAGTTTTGACAATTATTACAGATTCGTAAATAAATAGGCACGGTAAGATTCCAAACTCATTGTAGAGAGGTTTGCAGGGATCTCGCGATCGTCATTTTTTCATTGTTCGAATAATTTTCTATTGCAATCTAAAGGTCTGGGTACTACATGATGAGCTTCCCCAAAATATGCCATATCTCAGGCGGGAATGCATATTTACACAATACACGCAACGAGCTACATGAAGGCAGACAGAATTTGAAAGAATTCTGAATGCGTAATATAATTAACTTAATTTAGTTTAATTCTGTTATGTGTACATTCCATTTGAGGTTTGATTGAATTCAGAGACCTAGAAATTTTGCTACCTTAAAATCAGCTAATTAATATTACTAATTTTCAATGGAGCATGCGATTGTAGATATGAAATGCAAAAATGCATTGAAACTTTTTCCTTCGTTAACTATTAATTTATTATTACAAAACCAATATGAAACTTCTGGAATATTAATATTTCTTTTTTGCAAAGAACATTCGTGTCATCGACAAACAGAACCGTTCTTCCGTTTTTAACAGACGAGGGCATGTCGTTTACGTGTAACAGAAAGAGAACAAGAACTAAGATCGAACCTTGCGGAACCAGATATTCATTTGGTAAGAAATAGGAAAGATAAGTAAATAATGTTCTTTCGTGCCAGTACGTTATTTATACTATTTGATATCGGTGTTTAAGGCACGAGGTTATCCAATCTAGGGCGATAACACGAATTCTGTAAGAAGGTAAATCTGATATCAATATGTTATGGCCAATAACGTCAAAAGCTTTTGAAATATCAAATAATTATCCAATGGGTGCTTCATTTTGGCCCATTGATACAATAACGTCTTCACAAAAAGAAAAAAATGTCAGTTTCCATAGATTTTGATTTTCTAAAACAGTGTTGTTAGTCTGAAAACTCTTCGTTTTCTGAGATAAGTTTCCACTCACTTATAGAAAAGCCTCGCTAATAATTTAGAGAAAACTGACAAAAGAGAAACGAGACATGTTTACGAAAGAACGGGGTAAATAGATATATGTATTCATTTCTATTTTACAAGATAGAGGTTTACTTCGTTTTTCAAATGTACCTACACATTTTTAGTCTATCATGAGCGTGAAAAGACGAATCTAATAATATACACATTGTCATATGTTAGATAAAGAATTTTTAGTACTTTTCATTTTTGGTGACATGTTTAAAGAATATTTTGAATGTAACAGCTCGACACACAAAGTCACGCAGCGCTCTCCCTGATAACGCGCTCTCGGGCAAGGGAAGCTGATGGAAGTATTTGAAAATACGATATTTATTCCAAATATTCCAAACAGGCAAATTTTTAAATTTTGAAGGACTTTTTCTCAGGAACAGCTCTAAATTTGCTCCTTAAATTTTTTTTCACGTGTGTAGGGAAGAAAGGAAAAGAAAGTGATGCGGTTTCCATTTTCAACACCCAAGATATTTATGTAAAAAATAAAATGAGTAACATACTTTTTTATGTGCTTGAAGTAAGTTTTTTATTAGAGTTGGAAGAGAAGGAAAATATTTAAATTTCTAGGGCGTCACTCTCTTAAATTTATTTTTACGTCAAAAATTATGAAGGGGAGAAGTGTACACGTTTTCATAATTCTGTGATCCCTACTCAAAACCATATAGTAGTTGCATTTCGATTACAGAAAGACATGAGCGTTTTTGCAATGATGTTAACAAAATATTTGCTGAGATGTAATGAAATATACTTCTAAGGGTAAATGAGCTATAAATTTGAAAT